TTGAACTCAATATTCCTGCTTCTTGGCAGGGGGTTGGACTGAATGGCCCATGAGGTCTCTTCCAATGCTTTGATTCTAAGGGGAAACCTTACCTTTAAAAATTATTATTTTACTTGAGTGAAATAAACCTTTAGTTTTACCTATAACACTATGTAACAAAATTTGAAAAGGTTTTCTGTTCCTGGTTTGAAAGTGTTATTTCCCGTTTAATTGTGTGGCCCTTACTTTGAAAGTAGTTGTTTTACTCCAGAAACTTTGTGGCTGCTGCAAACTCTGTCGAATTGGTTGAGACTCAATGAGATATTCATTGGAAAACTATAGCAAAACGTTCTGCAGGATGTCCTGCAAAAACAATATTTTTGCAGTTTAATAAACCTTTTCCACATCTTATGATAGAATCAATTTGGAAATGACATTTATAACTCGGGAGCACAAATAGTATAAGCTTTGCTTATCTGGATGGCTCACTCCTGGACCGGTTTTAATTGCACTGCTTTTCCTTATGATTTGGAAGTCTCTTTTGAGTCCTAGGCTTCAGGGGGAAAGTGATGCCAAGACGCTTTAGAAGCGGCTAGGAAAGGATTGGGTTAATGCTCAGGATGGTTGGCATGAATGTGTACTTCTCCAAGGCCTGAGAAAGTTTGGCTAAAGCTTAACCCATCACTGGTCATGACAGCAGCTGGCTTCGCCCATGAGTGGGAGCAAAAGGCCTCTTCTTAAGGAAAAGAAAGGGAAACAATGGTCAGGAATGTCTCCTCTTCCTCCTCTGGTGGCGCAATGGGTTAAAACCTTGTGCCAGGAGGACTGCTGACAGAAAGGTCAGCAGTTCAAATCTGGGGTGAGCTCCTATCCATCAGCTCCAGCTTCTCATGTGGGGACATGAGACAAACCTCACAGCAGAATGGAAAAACACCCTGGTGTCTCCTGGGTAACATCCTTGCAGACGGCCAATTCTCTCACACCAGAAGTGACTTGCAGTTTCTCAAGTCGCTCCTGACATGAAAAAAATTCCTCTTCATCCCTGACTTGGATGGCAGAATGGAGGGCAATGCAGATCACTTTTCCAGGTGATACCAAACTGGGAATGGATATCCCCAAAGACAGGATCCGGATTCACAATGTAGAGTCGAAACGAATGTCAAATTGGACAACACTTAGGCAGAAAACAATGAAATATACAGAGATCTGATAGGATAGGTGAGATTTTGCTAAGGATCCCAATAAGGGTTCTTAGTAGACTCCATGCTGAATCTGAGCCAACAGCGTGATGCGGCAGCGAAAAAAGCCAATACAATTCTAGGCTAAGTCCAGTGTCAAGATTGAGGGAAGTTGTGGTCCATTTTCTTCTGTTTTGATCAGGCCTCTTTACCTGAAATAATAACCCTGTGTCCAATGTATTGTTAAAAGGCTTTCATGACCGGAGTCACTGGGTTGTTGTAAGTTTTTTGGGCTGTATGGCCATGTTTCAGAAGCATTCTCTCCTGACATTTCAAAGACCTCACAACCTCTGAGGATGCCTGCCACAGGTGCAGGTGAAATGTCAGGAGAGAATGCTTCTGGAACATGGCCATACAGCCCAAAAAACTTACAACAACCCAACCCTGTGTTCAGTTTGGGAAAAATCACCTCAAGAAGGAGGTGGACAAGACAGAAGAGGCCTGGAGAAGGGCCACCAAAATGGTCAAAGGCCCAGAAGCCATGAATCCCTCTGAAGAATGGCTTAAGGACATAGATACGATTATCTTGGAGAAGAGAAGGCTAAGAAGAAGCGACTAGAGCAGCGGTTCTCAACCTGGGGTCCCCAGATGTTTTTGGCCTACAACTCCCAGAAATCTCAGCTGGTTTACCAGCTGTTAGGATTTCTGGGAGTTGAAGGCCAAAAACATCTGGGGACCCCAGGTTGAGAACCACTGGTCTAGAGAACCATGTTTGAATATCAGGAAGGAGGTCATATTGAGGATGGAGCAGGTAACCTTTCTGCTGCTCCGGAGACTGGGACATAACTGAGCCATGGATTCAAATTACAGGAAAAGAGATTCCACCTCAACTTTAGGAAGACCTTCCTGAAGGTGAGAGCGGCTCGACGGAGGAATAGTTGTGATGGAATCTCTTTCTCTGGAGGTTTTTCATTGGTGGCTAGATGGCCATCTGTCAAGAGGGCTTGGATGGTGCTTGGCCAAATGGAGTTGGACAGGATGACATTTGGGGTCCATCAGTTGAGCTATTTGAAAAAGATAGGAAAGTCAGGACTTTGGAATTAGGCCTGCAATAATCGCACCCCTTCCCTTCTTTGCACGGTTTCTTCTTTGCCTTCCTCTGAGAGAATGGGACTTCTTAAAAGAGAGCTAAGCAGGGATTTGAACCTTGGTGCTATTTGCCTTTTTGCCTTGGTGCTATCTTGGTGCTATTTGCCTTTTTTTCTCCCAAAGTTCCACCCTGAAAATTGCCCAAAGCAATAATTCAGCCCCACCTCTCCGAGGATTGCTTCATCTCCTCCCGGTTTGTTCGCATTTCCAACAATAAAAGCACCCAGGTGTTGTTGAAACAGGTAGACCTGAAATGGCAAGGTATTTGTGTGTATCTCTTGAGCATTAAGAGCAGCCAACCTCTTGCCTGCCCTCCTCCTCCTCCCAGAAAAGAAATCTGTGGGGTTTTTTCCGTCTTCCGCTCCCAAGACATAGAAGCATTTTGGAACAATTGATATTTGGACTAGTTTTGGAAACAGAACTTGTCAAAACTATTTGCACAATTGAATGCAAAGCAAAACTATTTTTTTTTTGCTCCTTTGCTTTCCTTTCTCTATTTTTCTCCAAAAATAAATGGAATTCTTTCCACCCTCTTCTTGCTCTCTCCAAAATGGAGAGAAGGAGGAGGGGAGAAAGAAAGAAAAGGAGAGAGAAAATAGAGAGAGAAGGAGAAAAGGAAGAAAAAAAAGTAGGTAGGAAAAAGAGAGGAAAGAAAGGAAGAAAGGTGGGTAGGTAGGAAACAGGAACGGAGGGAAGGAGAAAAGGAAGAAAGAAAATGTAGGTAGGAAAAAGAGGGAAGGAGAAAAGGTAGAAAGAAAAGGAGGTAGGAAAAAGAGGAAAGGAGAAAAGGTAGAAGAGGTGGGAAAAAGAGAGGGAAGGAGAAAGGGAAGAAAGAAAAGGAGATAGAAAAAAAGAAGGAAGGATAAAAGGAAGAAGAAGAGGTAGGAAAAAGAGAGGGAAGGAGAAAAGGAAGGGAAAAGGAGGTAGAAAAAAGAGAGGGAAGGAGAAAAGAAGGGAAAAAAGAAAAAGTAGGTAGGAAACAGGGAAGGAAGGAAGGAGAAAAGGAAGAAAGGTAGGTATATAGGTAGGAAACAGGAAAGGATGGAAGGAGAAAGAAAGAAAAAATAGGTAGGAAACGGGGAACGTATTCTGAAAGTGTGGCGGTGTGATCTGAACCCACTGGATGCCTTTAGGCAAGACACACTCTCTCAGCCTCAGAAGAAGACTAAGACAAATCCCCTTTGAATAAAGCTTGACAAGAAAACACCTTGAGAGGGTTGCCTTAGGGCTGCCCTGAGTCTGAAACAACTTGAAGGCACACAACAACAACGACAATGAATTATAATCTGCCCACCCCAACAGTCTGAGGGATTGTGAACTGGACCTCTGCTTAAAATGTTTGAGTGACTATTGGACCTGAGTTCAAGTCCCTCCCGTGTCACAAATCTGCAACTCTGGATGCTCCTACACTGGAGAATGTATCTGTCATAGTTCAATGCTATAGAATTGTGGGAGCTGTAGTTTCACAACTGTCTTGAGCCTTCTAAAAGTGCAAGCCAGAATCCTGTTATCCCATAGCATTGAGCCATGGGGCGAGTAAAGCGGTCTCAAGCTGCCTTCGTTCCACAGTGTAGATGCACCCTCTGACTTCAGAAACCAGACCAGAAGCTTCAAAGGCAACTTTGTCTCGACACATAGATGGATGTCCTTTTTCTGGAGAGAGAAGGGCTGGAGTCCCTCCTGGAGCTTTGTTTGGGGCTAATTGGCTTAATGACATCCTCGTGAGAGGCGTGAGGCACATCCTCCTCCAATGCAAGGAAATGAGGCCAGTTACGTTTGGAGACTGTTCTGCTCTACTATGGATGTGTTTCTCTTTTTGAGAACCAGATTGTATTCTTCCTCTATCTTACCCCGCATTATATATGGTCAGATTTATAGGACGCTGTTGAACTGCATATCTCATCATGCCCAGATAGCTTTAATGGGCTTTGCAATTCAGTGGTGCAGTTGGAGGGTCCTTTAAGGACCTCCCAACATTGCTGAATATGTAAAATACATTATTATTATTATTATTATTAAATATTATTATTATTATTATTATTATTATTATTATTATTATTATATATTGTGCCAAAGGAGACTTAATGCATTTGATCCTTCCTCCATCAAGCAACCAATGTAGCTTAACATGTTCTGAATGATGGCTTAAAATTCCAATTCTGATTAATTGAAAAAGCGAAACCCTTTATTGGGACGACGCCATGCCGAGATCATCTAGATCGGACTCCTTCTATTTCTCTTTATTTATTGACTTTGTTTTGATCCTGCCTTACTCCCAATGTAGAAATGAACTTCTGTGGTGCATCTGCACTGCAGAATGAATGTGGTTTGAGTCCACTTTAATGGCGACCGAATCCTGAGAGCTGTAGTTTGCACCCTTTGTCAGAGAAGGCTCAAATGACAACTCCTAGGATCCCATAGTATTGATCCGAGGCAGTTCAGGTGATGTGAATCTGTATTCATTCTACAATGTGTAGAAAGGAACTTTCTACACATCCACACTGCAGAATGAATGTGGTATGAGCCCATTTTAATGGCGACCAAGTCCTGGGAGTTGTAGTTTGCACCCTTCATCAGAGAAGGCTCAAATGACAACTCCTAGGATCCCATAGTATTGATCCGAGGCAGTTCAGGCGATGTCAAACTGTATTCATTCTACAATGTAGATCCTTTTTTCCTTATGTTTTCAAACAGAAGTAACTTCTCCTAGAGTAGCTCCTTCCCCAGGCAAGAAGAATGCTGATCCTTTTGGCCTTCATCCTCATCTTCCACATCACTTCCGCCGCCTTCCTCTTCATCGCCACCATCGACAGTGTAAGTACACCCTGGAAATGTGTGTATTTCTGAAACCTTACGTTATGTTGGCTCGACAGCAGTATGTGTGAAAAAGATCTTGGGAGTCCTCATGGACAACAAGTTAAACACATGCCAACAATGTTATGCATTGGCAAAAAAGTCAATGGGATTTCGGCCTGCATCAATAGGAGCCTAGTGTCTAGATCCAGGGAAGTCATGCTATCCATGCTCTGTTCTACCTTGGTCAGACCACATCTGGAATCACACTGTGTCCAATTCTGGGCACTGCAATTGAAGGGAGATATTGACTTTAAGCTGGAATGTGTCCAAAGGAGGACGACTGAAAGGATCAAGGGTCTGGAGAACAAGCCCTATGAGGAGTGGCTTAAAGAGCTGGGCATGTTTAGCCTGCAGAAGAGAAGGCTGAAAGGAGACATGATGTATAAATATGTGAGGGCAGGCCCGTAGCCAGAATTTTGATTGGGGGTGGGGGGCTGAGTTTGATTCCAGGGGGGGGGGGCAGGATCTACCCTAGCAAACCTTTTGTATCATTATCCCCATGCATATGGGATATATTGAGCATGGTGATCAGATCATGATATGAATAAATATAACAGTTTAAATAATGTACCAGTAAGGCCTTCTCGTGGACCACCCTGAGAATTTCGGGGCGGGGGGCCGAAGCCCCTCAATCCTCCCACCCTGGCTATGGGCCTGTGTGAGGGGAAGTCAAACGGGAACAAGCTTGTTTTCTGCTGTCCTGGAGACTAGGATGCAATGGAACAATGGCTTCAAACTACAGGAAAGGAGATTCCACCTGAACATTAGGAAGAACTTTCTGACTGGGAAAGCTGTTCAGCAGTGGAACTCTCTGTGCTGGAGTGTGGTGGAGGCTTTTAAACAGAGGCTGGATGGCCATCTGTCAGGAGGTGCTTTGAATGCGATTTTCCTGCTTCTTGGCAGAATGGGGTCCCCTTCCAAAGTTATAATTCTGCGATTCCATTTACTCTGTATACTTGTCTATTCAACCCCCTTTAGACCCATCTTCTCAATTGTCCTCATTGTTGTTTGCAGCCATTATCCGATTCTTCTAGTTTCCTCCATGCATAAACGATTTTCCTTAGTTTGCAGTTTGCTGTGGCACAGTGGGTTAAACCGCTGAGCTGCTGAGCTTGTTGGCCGAAAGGTCGGGGAGTGGCATGAGCTTCCGCTGTCAGCCCCAGCTCTTGCCAACCTAGCAGTTCGAAAACATGCAAATGTGAGTCAATCAATAGGTACCGCTCCGGCGGGAAGGTAACGGCACTCCATGCAGTCATGCCGGACACATGACCTTGGAGGTGTCTACGGACAATGCCGGCACTTTGGCTTAGAAATGGAGATGAGCACCAACCCCCAGAGTTGGACATGACTGGACGATGCCAGGGGAAAACCTTTACCTTAACCTAATAATAATTCAGTTCTTGTGGGTTTTTTCGGGCTATATGGCCATGTTCTAGAGGCATTTCTCCTGACGTTTCGCCTGCATCTATGGCAAGCATCCTCAGAGGTGACCTCACCTCTGAGGATGCTTGCCATAGATGCAAGTGAAACTTCAGGAGAAATGCCTCTAGAACATGGCCATATAGCCCGAAAAAACCCACAAGAACTGAGTGATTCCAGCCATGAAAGCCTTCGACAATACACTAATAATAATTTATAATAATGCAAGTATTTTAACCTTTACCTTAGTTGATCTCTGGATGCCTTTAAATATGTAGTGTTTAGTTCAATATATTCCTCCACTATTCTGTGACCATTAATCTAAAGATAACTTCTCACACCAGAGTTTACCAGTGGATTTCAACTTGTCTTTTAACTTTGTGTATTTTGTTGTATGTCCTTTTAAATAGTGTTTCCCCTCTTGTAAATGTCACGACAGTCTTTTTGCACGTGTGTTTCTCACCCCTTTTTTGTATTGCAGGCCTGGTGGGTTTCAGATGGATTTTATACAGATATCTGGCGGCGGTGTTTCAATGCCTCAAACTGTACGACGCTTGACGACAGCTTCCCGGGTAAGTTCACACACCGAACCTGATCCTCAGAAAAAGTCCCATTTAGAGCAATTCAGTGGGTCAAAAGGGATCCGCTCCTGCTTCTTCAAGGGAGGTTCCCTTCCTCTGCCCGGAAGCTGTGTTTTGGAAAGGAAGCGTTCTCTGAAGAGTTGGCCAATGGCAGGCGACTTTCGTCGCTTTGCAGGCAAAAAAGCAGGATGCAGGTGGGCCCCAAGGAGGAAAAGTGGGGCGGAAAATAACGCTTGTGGCGAAGGAAGGGGGGAAGATCGAGGAATGGCTTGGAGGTGGAAGTGGTCCGAGGGTGGCTACCTGAGCAAGATGTAGGATGAGAATCCAAAATTACACTATGTAAACACGATTTTTGTTCCTGGCTTATGCATATCATGTCCTAACTGTTCCTATTGCAAAAAACATGGGGAAAAATTAAACTCCAAAACTTTTTTTTTTTTTGCAAGAGGGACATCCTGCAGCACACTTTGCTCTAGTTTTTCAATGACTATCTCATCGAATTTCTACCAATTTGACATCATTTGTGGCAGCCACAAAAGCAGTTTCTGGAGCAGTACAACAAAGTAAGGGCCACACAATTAAGCAGGAAATAACACTTTCAAACCAGAAACAGTTTTCCCTCCAAATGTGTTTATATGGTGTAAGAGTTGGAAGAGACCACATAAGCCATCTAGTCCAACCCCCTTCTGCTAAGCAGGAAAATCAAAGCCCCTAAACAAAAACAGATGGCCATCCAGTTTTTGTTTAGAAGCCTCCAAAAAAGGAGCCCACACAGGACTCAGAGGCAGAGTTTTCTGCTGTTAAGCAGCTCTCCCTCATGTTCAGGTGGAATCTCATTTCCTGTAAATCAGTGTTTCTCAACCTGGGGGTGGGGACCCCTGAGCAGGTTGCGAGGGGGTGTCAGAGGGGTCGCCAAAGACCACCAGAAAACACAGTATTTTCTGTTGCTCATGGAGATTCTGTCTGGGAAGTTTGGCCCAATTCTATCGTTCTTGGAGTTCAGGATGCTCTTTGATTGTAGGTGAACTATAAATCCTAGCAACTACAACTCCCAAATATCAAGGTCTATTTTCTCCAAATTCCACCAGTGTTCACATATGGGCATATTGAGTGTTCGTGCCAAGTTTGGTCCAGACCCATCATTCCCTTTGATCATCTGGGGAGGCCCTGCTCGCGCTCCCACCTCCATCGCAGGCGCGATTGGTGGGGACGAAGGAGAGGGCCTTCTCGGTGGTGGCCCCTCGACTCTGGAACTCACTCCCCAAGGACATCAGGCATGCCCCAATTCTGGCAGTCTTTAGGAGGAGTCTGAAAATATGGTTGTTCCAGTGTGCCTTACCAGAATAAGGAAACTTCCAGCAATATGTCCTCTAAATGCACTTTAGTATTGATCTAGGAGTGTCTGCACGCCCATCTCTCTCTGAAAACTCTATCCTAGTCATATTTCACCTGTTCATGCTCAGCATTATTTTAAAATTTTAATTATTACATTTGGCCCAGCCATAGGTTTTTAAGCGTCATTGTGTTAGTTAATGTTTATTGCTTATTTTCTGTTATGAGTTTTATTTTTATTGTTTTGTATTACTTGTTGTTATTGTTTTTATTATTGATGTATTGTGGGCTTAGCCTCATGTAAGCCGCACCAAGTCCCTTGGGGAGATGATAGCGGAGTATAAATAAAGTATTATTATTATTATTATTATTATTAGTTGAGTTCCAAATTAATTATTATTTGAGTTGCTCTTTGGAAGTAGGGAACTACAACTTCAAAACTCAAGGTCAATGCCCACCAAACCCTTCCAGTATTTTCTGTTGGTCATGGGAGTTCTGTGTGCCAAGTTTGGTTCAATTCCATCGTTGGTGGAGTTCAGAATGCTCTTTGATTGTAGGTGAACTATAAATCCCAGCACCTACAACTCTCAAACGACAAAATCAACCCTGCTCCCAACCCCACCAATATTCAAATTTGGGTGTGTTGTTGGGTATTTGTGCCAAATTTGGTCCAGTGAATGAAAATACATCCTGCGTATCAGATATGTACATTACGATTCATAGCAGTTAAGAAGTAGCAACGAAAGTAATTGTGGTGAGCACCAACAAGAATAACAATAATGATTACTATGGTTGGGGCCCACCATGACACGAGGAACTGTATTAAGGGGTTGCGGCATTAGGAAGGTTGAGAACCACTGCTGTTCTAGACTTAAGGTGAGAATGGTATTGCAATTTCTCTGCAGTCTCCTGCTTTACCAAGCGTAATTGTCTTTTCCGCACAATGAATGGTCTCATAATACATTAAGCCTTTTACTGGATATGAACATTAAGGAGTTGCCCTCTTTTGCATCATGCAGATGGAAGTCCACTTATCGTCATATAAACCCCTACACAGTTCCATCATCATGGTTCTTATTATTCCAGACTATTCGTCGATCCAGGCCATCCAGGCCACAATGATTCTGTCCACCATCCTTTGCTGCGTGGCCTTTTTCGTCTTCATCCTCCAGCTCTTCCGCCTGAAGCAAGGCGAGCGCTTCGTCCTGACCTCCCTCCTCCAGTTCCTCTCATGTGAGTATCTCCCTGTTAAACATGGGGATGGGAACCCCCCCCAAAGAGGACTCTTGGGTTGGAAGGGACCCTGAAACACCATCGAGTTCAACTCCCTTCTGTCAGGCAGGAAGACGCCATCCAGTCCCTCCCAACAGATGGCCATCCAGCCTCTATTATTATAATCCTTTAGAAGGATATTAAAAACATGGCTGTGTAACCAAGCCTTTGGGACTGCGTAATGAGGCGGCGATAGGAACTCTTAGTATGCCCACCAAATTCGATATGGTTGTTGAGACAGTTTTAACTAGAGGATTTTAATGTCAAGATAAGTGATTTTAATGTTTTTCTATGTGTATGGTCTAGTATGTTTCGGCGTTGAGTGTTTGCCATTGTATATCTAACCATTTGAGTCGCCTAAGGGCTGAGAAAAGCGGTATATAAATGAAATAAATAAATAAATAAATAATAAATATATGTTGTGCTCCACCCTGAGTCCCCTTCGGGGTGAGAAGATAGAATATAAATGCTTTAAATAAATACATAAACAAATTAATAATAATAATAATAATAATAATAATAATAATAAAAACAACAAAAACATAGACTCCTAGAGTTGGAAGAAACCACTTAGGGCCATCTAGTCCAATCCTATTCTGCTATAAAGGAAGACACCATCTATGCCCTCCCAACAGATGGCCATCCAGCCTCTCATTCATAATAATAATAATAATAATAATAGGATTTAAAGATTGAACTGCAGAGACTCTGGCATAAGCCAGTCAAGGTGGTCCCAGTGGTGATAGGCACACTGGGTGCAGTGCCTAAAGACTTTGGCCTGCACTTAAAAACAATTGGCGCTGAGAAAATTATCCTCTGTCACCTAGAAAAGGCTACTCTACTTAGATGTGTATGCATTATTCACCGATACATCACAGTCCTAGACACTTGGGAAGGGTCCGATGTGTGAGCGATACAAACGCCAGCACAGCGATCATGTTTGCTATTTATATTGTTGTGTATCTAATATTATTATTATTATTATTAATAACAATAATAATAATAAGATTTAAAGATCGAACTGCAAAGACTCTGGCACAAGCCAGTCAAGGTGGTCCCAGTGGTGATTGGCACACTGGGTGCAGTGCTGAAAGACCTTGGCCTGCACTTAAAAACAATTGGCACTGACAAAATTACCCTCTGTCATCTAGAAAAGGCCACCCTACTTGGATGTGCATGCATTACTCACCGATACATCACAGTCCTAGACACTTGGGAAGGGTCCGACGTGAGATTGATACAAACACCAGCATAGTGATCATGTTTGCTATTTATATGGTTGTGTATCTAATAATAGTAGTAGTAATAATAATAATAATAGTATTAATATGATTTAAAGATCGAACTGCAAAGACTCTGGCACAAGCCAGTCTAGGTGGTCCCAGTGATGATCAGCACACCGGATGCAGTGCCTAAAGACCTTGGCCTGCACTTAAAAACAATTAACGCTGACAAAATTACCATCTGTTAGCTAGAAAAGACCACCCTACTTGAATCTGCATGCATTATTCGCCAATACATCACAGTCCTAGACACTTGGGAAGGGTCCAATGTGTGATCGATACAAAAACAAGCATAGTGATCCTGTTTGCTATTTATATTGTTGTGAATCTAATAATAGTAGTAATAATAATAATAATAATAATAATAATATGATTTAAAGATCGAACTGCAAAGACTCTGGCACAAGCCAGTCAAGGTGGTCCCAGTGATGATTGGCACACTGGGTGCAGTGCCTAAAGACCTTGGCCTGCACTTAAAAACAATTGGAACTGACAAAATTACCATCTTTCAGCTACAAAAGGCCACTCTACTCGGATGTACACGCATTAATCACCGATCCATCACACAGTCCTAGACACTTGGGAAGTGTCCGACGTGTGATCCAAAAGCCAGCATAGTGATCTTGTTTGCTGTGTACTAATCTTGTTGTGTATCTAATAATGATGATGATGATGATGATGATGGGGATGATGATGATGATTCCTAGAATTGGAAGAGACCTCCAAGGGCCATCTAGTCCAATCCCATTCTGCTATAAAGGAAATATAAAACAAGAGCCAATGTTACTGTCACAATAATAGGTGGCTCTTCAGGGATTGCAACTATAGCCAAACCCACACCTATGGTAAACATATCGAGGATATGCTTTTCTTGTAGCCAACCAATCAACATGATTATGCCAATGACACCATCAAAAGCCTCCCAACGGATGGCCATCCAGTCTCTGATGAAAAACCATTGAGTACTAAAAAAGCAGAATATTCCATTGCCAAATAGCTCTTACCATCATGAAGTTCTTCCTAATGTTGAGGTGGATTTTTTTATCCCTTGTCATTTGAATCCATGGCTCCGTTGTGTCTGGAGCAGCAGAAAACAACCGTATTTCTTCATCAGCGTGACTTCATTTCCAACATCTCAATATAGCTCTCCTGTCGCATTCCCTCAGTCTTCTCTCTTCCAAGCTAAACATCCTCAGCTTCCTAAGCTGCTCCTCAGAGGGATCCATCGTTTCCAGACCTTCAATGTTGTCTATACCCATATCTTGAACTGGACATAAGAGTTATTTCCAAAACAGAAGAGAGTGGGATAGAGTAGGCATGGGCCAACTTGGGTCCTCCAGGTGTTTTGGACTCCAACTCCCACCATTCCTAACAGCCTCAGGCCCTTTCCTTTTCCTCCTCAGCAGCTTAAGCTTAAGTGGCTGAGGGGGAAAAGGAAGGGGCCTGAGGCTGTTAGGAATGGTGGGAGTTGGAGTCCAAAACACCTGGAGGACCCAAGTTGGCCCATGCCTGGTCTAGAACTTCCCTCCATGTTTTCGTTGCTGTACTCCTATGGATGTAGCCTAGAATGGTCTCGCTATTCTCCTCCGCAGGCCTCTGCGTCATGATCGCGGCCTCTATCTACACCGACCGGCGGGAGGAGATCCACAAGGGCAACAGCTTTGGCTTTTTCGAAGTCACGAGCGGCGAGTACGGCTACTCCTACATCCTGGCCTGGGTCGCCTTTGCCTTCACCTTCCTCAGCGGGATCATGTACCTCATATTGAGGAAGCGCAAATAATGGACATCTGGATGCAGGTAACCATGGAGCGCTCACACAGCCTTTATCTTTGTGTCTATAGCCCAAGGCGAGTTTCTGAAGGGAAAGTTGGGGTTTTTTATGCCCCGGGGTTAGGAAACAAAGGGTTATTTTGGAAACAGCAGGTGGATTGGAGACACCTTGGCTCTCTGCAAGCCATTGAGCCTAATAATCATGGAGATAACCCTTCTCAATCAAAAAGTGGGATATAAATAAAGATAATAGTAATAATAATAATAATAATAATAATAATAATAATAATAATAATAATGCAAAGGCTCTGCCATAAACCAGTACAGGTGGTCCCAGTGGTCATCGGCACACCGGGTACCATGCCAAAAGATCTCAGCCAGCATTTGGAAACCATAAACATTGACAAAATCACGATTTGTCAACTGCAAAAGGACGCCTTACTTGGATCTGCACACATCATTTGAAAATACATCACACAGTCCTAGATGCTTGGGAAGTGTTCGACTTGTGATTTTGTGGCACGAAATCCAGCATAGATTTCTCGTTTGCTGTAACATACTGTGTTTTAGAGTCAATAAAATAATAATAATAATAATAATAATAATTGTCAAAGGCTTTCATGGCCAGAATCACTGGGTTGTGGTGTATTTTCTAGGCTGTCTGGCCATGTTCCAGAAGCATTCTCTCCTGATGTTTTGCCTGCATCTATGGCAGGCACACTTAAAGGTTGTGATGTCTGTTGGAAACTAGGAAAATGGGTTTTATATATCTGTGGAATGTCCAGGGTAGGAGAAAGAACCCTGTTTGAGGTAGGTGTGAATGTAGCAATTGGCCACCTTGATTAGCACTGAATGGTCTTGCAGTTTCAAGGTCTGGCTGTTACCTGCCTGGGGGAATTCTCTGTTGAGAGGTGTTAGCTGGCCCTGATTATTTCATGTCAGGAATTCCCCTGTTTTTTGAGTGTTGCTCTTTATTTACTGTCCTGATACTGGTAGCCAGATTTTGTTCATTTTACTGGTTTGTCCAGGGTGGGAGAAAGAACTCTTGTCTGCTTGAGACAAGTGTGAATGTTCCAACTGTATTATAATGTAATGCAATATACTACTACTACTAATATATTATAATAATATATTTATATTACATGTAATATTACTAATAGTATAATATAATGGTTTAGTACAATATAGTAATATTTAATACTGATATTGTACTATGCTAATAATATAATATATTCTATGTATATATATCTTGTAAGCCGCTCTGAGTCCCCTTCAGGGTGAGAAGGGAGTCATATAAATGTTGCAAATAAATAAATAAATAAATAAATAAATAAATAGAATACCTTGATTAGCACTGAATGACCAGGCAATCAGCCAGGCTTTGAAGCTGCAAGGCCATTCAGAGTTAATCAAGGTGGCCAACTGCAACATTCGCACTTGCCTCAAGCAGACAAGAGTTCTTTCTCCCACTCTGGAAATTATTCTACAGATATATAAACCCCATTATCCTTGTTAGTTTCTAACAGACCTCACAATTTCTGAGGATGCCTGCCATGGATGTGGGCAAAATGTCAGGAGAGAATGCTCTTGACATCAGGAACATGAGCTTGGAAAACACACAAGAACCCAATAAGAAGTCAATTAGCAAGAGGGGAGATTGGGTGAGGGGGGGGGGGCTCATGGTTTGCCATCTAGAATAACACTATGTAACACGAAGTTTGTTCATGGATTATAAATGTCATTTCCTAATTGGCTCTCTCATAAAACCATGGAAAAAGTCTATTACACGGCAAGTTTTTGTGTTTCTGCGGGAGGGACATCCTGCCGCACATTTTCCTATATGAATATCTCATAAGAATCTAAACCAATTCAATAGAGTTTGTGGCAGCCACATAAACAAAGTTTCTGGAGTAGAACAACTACTTTCAAAGTAAGTGCCACATAGTTAAAACAGGAAATAACACTTTCAAACCAGGAACTTTTTTTTTCAAATTTTGTTACATAGTGTAATTATTTACAGGCGCAGAGTGCAATGTATGGAACCTAACCCTTGTCAGGTCATTGGGAACATCCAACCCAATTTGGATCTCAGTAGATTAGAAAGCAAATCGCCTTGGGTCCCAATCTGAGCCCATAGGTATATGGACACTATAGGATCAGAGTTGGAAGGGACCTCCAGGGTCATCTAGTCTGACCCTATTCTGCCAGGCAGGAACCCACAATTCAAACACCATTTAAAGATGTCCTTCCAAACTCTGTTCATAAATCTCCAGATGGAGGAGCCATTTGAAGCAGTCCATTCCGCTCCTGAACTGCTCTTACAGTCCAATCCCCTGCATTCTTCTCTTTCCTTGTAATTTCAATTTTTCTCTTTTATTGTATCTTCAGTCTATTCCAGTGGTTCTCAACCTGTGAGTCCCCAGATGTTTTGGTCTTCAATTCCCAGAAATCCTAACAGCTGGCAAACTGGCTGGGATTTCTGGGAGTTGTAGGCCAAAACACCTGGGGACCCACAGGTTGAGAAACACTGCTCTAGTCGAAGGCTTTCATGGCTGGAATCACTAAGTTGTAGGTTTTTTCGGGCTATTTGGCCATGGTCTAGAGGCATTCCCTCCTGACATTTCGCCTGCATCTATGGCAAGCATCCTCAGAGGTAGTGAGGTCTCCAACAGACCTCACTACCTCTGAGGATGCTTGCCATAGATGCAGGCGAAACGTCAGGAGAGAATGCCTCTAGACCATGGCCATATAGCCCGAAAAAACCTACAACAACCCACTGCTCTAGTCCTTCAGGTGTTTTGGACGTCAACTCCCAGAAGTCTTTGCTGCTTTGGCCAATGCTTAGGGATTCTGGGAGATGAAGTTCAGAGTTTGAGAAACACTGTTAATCAAGTCTCTGGAACATCCCCAAAACAATCCCTTGTCTGGCTGGATCTTTTGCATCAATTGCTTCAGCATTTAGTTCCTTAAACCAGGGATAATATGGTTTTAGGGCGGGATTAGGACCAGGGTTTGAGTCTTCCTTTTAGCTTTAAAAACCCAATGGATCGCCTCGGGCAAGTTACTCTTTCCGAGGATGTGCAAGTTGGCAAATGCAATCTGTGGAAATAAGGCTTGAAAACACCCAATACGCAAGGCTAAGCTCCAGGATTCTTAATGGTACAGCTAGAGGGGGGGGGGGGGGAATCATCTTAATTTCCTTTTGTAAAACCAGTTAGGAGTAGGGCGGACCTGGCTGGATAGTCTGACTCAAGTCTATGGCATGAAGCAGGTCCTTTGGGCAGGGAAATGCCAGCTCTGCAGCACTCTCAATGCCATGCATTTACATGCCAAGTCCACCTCTGCTGCTCCAGAGGGGAGGCTCCAAAAGGCTGGTTTTACATGAGGAAATTAACAGGGCAAGGAGCGCAGTCAGCAAGTCAGTCCTTTTTTTCCTAACCTCCAAAAGGTGCCCTTTTAGAGAAGCAGATTTCAAAAGGAACCCAACAACTGCAGTTGGGCCCTTTTGAAAACTCACTTCCCCTCAAAGGGCATCTCTGATAGGTTGAAACCCATGGGACTGATCTGTCTACAATCATGCCAGCCCCCGGTGCCACAATCGGTTTAATACTTGTGCTGGTGGGACTGAAGACCAACAGGTCAGAGGTTCGAATCTGGAGAGTGCAGATGAGCTCCTTCTGTCAGCTTCAGCTCCCCATCTGGGGACACAAGAGAAGCCTCCCACAAGGATGGTAAAAACATCAAAACATCTGGCATCCCTTGGGCAACGTCCTTGCAGATGGCCAATTCTCTCACACCAGAAGCGACTTGCAGTTTCTGAAGTCACTCCTGATATGAAAAAAAAATAAAAACCCAATGGAACTGATCTATCTACAATCCTGCCAGTCCCCTGCGGCACAATGGGTTAAATCCTTGTGCTGGCAGGACTGAAGACCGACAGATCAGAGGTTTGAATCCGGGGACAGTGCAGATGAGCTTCCTCTGTCAGCTCCAGTTCCTTATGCGGGGACATGAGAGCAGCCATCCACAAGGATGGTAAAAATATCAAAACATCCAGGCGTCCCCTGGGCAATGTCCTTGCAGATGCCCAATTCTCTCACACCAGAAGCGACTTGCACTTTCTCAAGTCGCTCCTGACACAAAAAATATATAAAATGCCAGCCCTGTCTCTTTAGAGGAGGTTTTAAGTTCAGATTCATCATCCCATGGAGCCTGATTCATTTCACACTTCAATAAGGAGGTGTTTGGAGCTCTTGAGGAAGGCAAACAATGACAACCATTGGCTACAATGGCATGAAAAGCCCGTTTCTTTCCCATTAACCGCTGCCAAATGGCGACGGCTTCCTTCCTCCGCAGCCTTTGGGCGTCTGAAATGTGTCACCCGCCTGAAATTGATGTCTTTGTCGTTTTTTAAAAAGGGCTCTGAAACGCGAAGCAGGAGAGGGCCGAGGTCCTGCGAGAACCCACTGGATCCCCCCTCCAAAAAAACTCCAGGAGGATCGTGATTGCGGTGCCAAAGACCCAGTCCAGAAAGAGCCTTCGCCATTGAAACAAAACCTGCCTCTTTTATTTGTACATACAGTAGTGAAAGGGTCACATCTGAGAGCAAAACAGCCAGTCGCGCAACAGAACCTGAGAACTCTGCCAAATCTTCCTTCAACATAAGAACACTGACCGCCGGCCAGCAACCAACCCATGTTTCTGATTGCCTTTGCATCATCATCTTGGCCTGGAATAATCCAGAAGAAAGGCCTTTCGAACTCAGCACCCAAGAGACCTGCCAGGCCTTCTGGATTTTGGACTATCCCCCCCCCCCAAAAAAAAATGGCTAGCTTTAACTCTACCGACTGTGCCTCTATTGTTTTGTATTATATATATATATATATATACCCCTGGTGTATATGGAAATAAAAGTTACCAAGAACAAGGTACCAGTGTTCGCGCTTTGGGTCTGGTTTTGAAATGGAAGCTTTCAGTGTCCCAATATATTCGCTTCCTTCCCATCCAGGCCTTTCTAGGCTACTGGACTGCAAATCCCAGAATCCACCAGCAAGAAGGAAAGCTCCTACAAGGAGGGTTGGGGCCATCTGTAAAAGATGTAATTATGCTGAAGCTGTGCCCTTATTCCAGCACATGGAATTATACTGGCCTTTTGGCAGTCCAGACTGTCTCCAGCCAAAATGCCTGGGGATTCTGGGAGCTGGAGTCCACAATGTCTGGAGGTTGGGCAATTACTGAGGCAGAACGCCCTTATTAAGGGATACACACAGTATTTAACTCAAGGAGTGCTATAATATTCACATTTATGGGCATTTCGACATTTTGAGAAAACCACCCTGGGATTATTCTCATTGAAAGTGGCACTTTGGAGCCTAAAGGCCACGGGATGAGAATGCTGGGCCTGGCACAAGACTTCAGCAGGAATTGCAGTTTGAAAAGGCCAGGTCTTTCTCTTTGACTTTTAGTGCACTGTGCATTGGTTGCTGTGCTCAAAGGTGCAAAGAGCCCCAACATAAAAGGCACTTTGGTATGAAACAAAACAAAACAAATCAACATTTTTTCCGCACCAGCGGACGGATGTTTCACATTTCTCACCTCTATCCCAACTACATTTGTGCATTGCATTCCCCGATACCTGGAGAATGTTGGGCATTATAGCACCAAAGAAATAACATCCCCAGTGTCTGGGCGATGCATATAATCCAAGCGGAATTAAACTCTTACTTCTCAAAAGGCATCTAATGCAACGTGGGCTCTGGTTATCATTGAGTTAGATGTCATTGGGGAGGTAAGAGTTCCGGTCCGCTCTGGGTTTCAGTCTGAATTCCACTGGAGGACAGCGGATGAGTCCCACCACCCTTTAAAGTTCAGACTAAAGCTTGGGGTGGATTTAACGGTACCAGTAACAACATGACCTCGTGCTCCTGGAAGAACCTCAACCCAGAACATTGACCACGGGAAGAGGAACCTTGAATGGCGCCATGGCGGAGAAGCGTGCCTCAGGGCCTATGCGGTGAAGACGGAGCGTACCTCGCTGAAGGGCCCCTCACGCCCATAGATGTCCTTGGCCCGCATGGCAAAGTAGCACCAGGTAGAGGGGGGAAAGTCAGCCAGGGAGCAGGCCATGGAGAGCGAGACGGCCGGGATGCAGTGGGTCTCCCTCCAGGCAGAGAGGGTGCCCTTCTTGCTGTCTTCTTCTTGGCAGAGGAAGAGGTGGAAGCTCTCGACGGAGGCACAGAGGGGGTCCGGGTCCAGGACGCCCCACCGGAGGGCGATGCCTTTGGGCCGCTCCAGGCAGGCCACTGCCAGCGCCAGCTTCTGAGGAGGAAGGGTGCCCTGGAAGCACTCCACTGGGCCGGGATGCGAGCGGGCCTTTGGCAAGGGAGGCAGGCGGGAAAGGTGTCCTGGGCCCTGCGGGGTGGAAATGGGAGAGATCTGGTATGAAGAGCAGAGTACAGCACAGGCAGCTTGCAGACGGCCAGTTCTCTCACACCAGGAGCGACTTGTAGTTTCTTAGGTCGCTCCTGACACGACAAAAAATAAATAAATCATATTACATGTAGTATTACTAATAATATTATAGTATTGTGGTGTAGTACAATATAGTAAAATATAATACTAATATTGTGCTGTGCTAATAATATAATATATTGTATAACCATATAATATCAATATTATAATGTAATACAATATAATAGTACTAATAATAATACAATAATTATATATTTCATATTACATGTAATATTACTAATAATATTATAGTATAGTGGTGTAGTACAATATGGGAATGTATGGTACTAATAGTATAATATATTGTATTGACATATAACTTGTAAGCTGCTCTGAGTCCCCTTCAGTGTGAGAAGGGCGGCATATAAATGTCGTAAAGAAACAATAAATAAATAAATTAGAGGAGTTCTGGGAGTTGCAGGCCGAAACATCTGGGAACCCACAGGTTGAGAACCACCGGTGTAGGAAGAATAGTTGGCATCTTGAGTAGAGTAAGTTGTAAGAATATTTGGTATCTCTATCAGAGTAGGGCAACTTGCAGAAACATTTGGTGTCTACAGCAGCATAGAATAAACTGTAGGAATACTATTTGGTGTCTCCAGCAGAGCAGAGTGCGGTGGAAGTGGACTGGGCCCATAACCTAGAAAATATTGGGTAACCATAGAACGGAGTGCAGCAGAAGCATGCTTCATTTCAATAGTGTTTGGTCTTCTCCACAGCTGTATGTATCCACACAAAGGCCAAGAATGCCTTCCTCCTCCAAGTCGTACTGTGCTATTGTGGCTCTGGGAGCCATTATGATGTTTCTGGCGGTCAGGAGTTAAGCTTTTAATAAGGGCAACCACTTATGCCGTGAAAAGGGAAAACCCGAGAGTGGCGTCTTTGCTGTTCTGACACAGTCCCCTTGTGGCCACCCAGGGAAGCTCGCTCTCCGTCCACCGTTCGTTCGGATTAACGATGCATCCCATTCATTATAGAGCTTTTCCCAGAGGTGACAGTGCAGGGATGCCTTGAGAGAGCCCATGTTCTTGTCTAGATCTCAAGGGAAGCTACCTTGCGGTTGCCACTAAGCTAGAATTGTATTACTCCTCTTTCATTGTCCATTGCCTCCAGGTCTCTGCCTGCATTGAGATTCCTCAATGCGGTGATTGTGGTGGCGCAATAGATTAAACCCTTGTGCCAGCTGGACTGCTGACCTGAAGGTTGCCGGTTTGAATCTGCAAGATGGGGTGAGCTCCTGTCTGTAAGTTATAGCTTCCGGGGTCATGAGAGAAGCCTCCCAGCAGGATGATAATGCATCCAGGCGTCCCCTAGCCAACGTCTCTATAGACGACCAATTCTCTCATGCCAGAAGCAACTTGCAGTATGTTCTCAAATTGCTTCTGACACTTGAAAAATAAAAATCTCAAGTGACAGGAGAAACACCATCCCAGACAAAACAAAGCCCTGTGACTCTAACAGGCATCACTTCTCTACTCTGGTGTGGTTTTGATACACCTTTGGAAGAAGCCGGTGAAGCTTGGAAAGCTTGCATGCCATTGTCGAAGGCTTTCATGGCTGGAATCACTAGGTTCTTGTGGGTTTTTTCGGGCTATAGGGCCATGTTCTAGAGGCATTTCTCCTGACGTTTCGCCTGCATCTATGGCAAGCATCCTCAGAGGTAGAGATAGCATCCTCACTACCTCTGAGGATGCTTGCCATAGATGCAGGCGAAACGTCAGGAGAAATGCCTCTAGAACATGGCCCTATAGCCTGAAAAAACCCACAAGAACCTTGCATGCCATTATTTTCAACATTTTGGTTGCTAACCATGCTATGACTTTTTTGTGATTTTTATTTAGCTAATCTTTTTTCTTATTTAATTTGAATACAAGTATTTATTATATTATTATTTGTAAAGACGTTCCCATACTGCCTTTGAGCACCTCCTCCATAAGGACCCCCAAGCGGGTTTATAACAATAACACAAAATACAAGGGAATAAATGAGACGGTAGAAATGAGCCAGCGTTGTCTGTAGACACCTCCAAGGTCATGTGGCCAGCATGACTGCATGGAGCACCATTACCTTCCTCCTGCCAGAGCGGTACCTATTCATCTACTCACATTTGCATGTTTTTGAACTGTTAGGTTGGCAGAAGCTGGGGCTAAAAGCGGGAGCTCACCTCGCTCCCTGGATTCAAACCGCCAACCTTTCAATCAGCAAGTTCAGCAGCTCAGTGTTTTAATCCACTGCACCGCCGGGGGCTCCACTGTGTACAATCTAAAATAATAGATTAACATTGTAAACATGAAGCCCCCATGTTGGAATTCTCTTTTCTTCCAGGAAATTTTTGAAGGGCTCCCAATCTTTCTTGAATATTAAAGATTTTTGGGTGATTTTTGTATTTTAATGTCTGGCCTGAACGTGACTGGTATTGGTAAGCGGATTCCTACAAATAAACATCTATCATTGTGCTTTCCTCCAGATTTAAATACCTGGTTTGACGCCTCCAGCAAAGGCTGAAGAGGGTTCAATGTCTGAATCTCTTCTGTTGAATTTCTCCTTCCCTTTGCGTCTTCGTCTGTTGATACACAATCCATGAACATCACATTGGAGACTCTAGGCCACTTCCCATTAGCAGCATATTTGAATATTCCCCCCCCCCCCTTATTGAAATATTCCTTTTAGTAAAGTATCTTTGGGTTCTGATATTCTATGAGGCATTTATCATAATAATTGGAGCTCCCAGTGCTGGCAGGACTGCTGACCAAAAGGTCGGCACTTCGAATCTGGGGACTGGGGTAAGCTCCTGTCTGTCAGCTCCAGCTTTTCATGCGGGGACATAGGGTGGTAAAACATCCGGGCATCCCTGGGCAACGTCCTTGCAGACAGAAGCAACTTGCAGTTTCTCAAGTTGCTCCTGACATGAAAGATAAATAAATCATCATCATTGCCTTTCTTGATATGCCAGCTCCTCCCCACAATGGAGGGTCAGGACTTCTTCCAAATTATAATCACAAAATCATCAAAACAGGAAAAGGCCACATTACATTTGAATTGGAGAATAAGACAAACGAGTCAGCGCTAATAGTAAATGACTGGACCAAAAAACCAAATAGTTCTGCTACCTTTGCGAAGCTTGTTGTCTTCTTCCGTGAGGTCGATGACAAAAAGATTCTGCAACGAGAAGTGAATGTAAATAAAACTGGAATCATTATTTCCAGGAAATGAAACCTGGAATTCCCTTTCAGAAGGAGCCAATCCAAGGCTGACAAGTTGGATGGCCTGGAAGCTTTTGCACCTAGCAGTTTGCTAACCGTTCCTTGGGATTTCTCACCATCTGTGGCAAGAAACACCCCAACATTTGCAGAAATTATTTCTAATCTTGAAACAGGACCCACCACCCTTTCAAGGCAGTAGTAATGGGAGGGAGGGGTCATTTGGAAGATGATTTAAATGTTACTTCTCAGGCTTTAAAGAGCATCCCATCCAGAATTGGATCGGATAAAAAATAAGAAAGGGTTGCAAAAGCAACCAAAAAGGGTGATTTTAATTTTGTGGGGAGGCTGGTTTTTCTAAGGGGGCTGGAAAGTTCCTTTCTGTTGAAGGGGACAGAATAACCCATACAAGCTACTTCAGCCATCATAATAAATCAGTGGTTCCCAAGAGCGAAAATTTGGTCTGCAGCCACACCATTACTACACCGTTGCTTGAAACCATGCAGCAACGAGAGCGACTGGTCTGATGAAACCCTCTTACAGTGCCAAGGCGATGGGGATGTCAGGAGGGGAGAGGCTGACTATACACAAAAGATTCCTATTACCACATCAACTCTAGATTATTCAATATGGTTTTCTGTGGGCAAGCAGATGGTAAGTACTGGATGGCATGTGTCTGTATCAGAAACTAGAGCAGATGTGGTCTATCCAATGTAATTTTCTGAATCAGCACACCAAATAATCAAAACGAATCTAAACTTGACCAAAAACAGATTCGTAAGCCTTTGGGTACTAATATTAGGGAGTGGTCCCTGGTCAAAGTGGCCCCTGGTCAAAGTGGTCCTTGATCAAAGTAGTCCCTGACCAAGTGGTCCCTGGTTGCGTGGACCCTGGTTAAGTAGTCCCTGGTCAAAATGGTCTCTGGTTAAGTTGCCCCTGGTCAAAGTGGTCCCTGGTCAAAGTGGTCCCTGGTCAAAGTGGTCCATGGTCAAGTAGTCCTTGGTCAAAGTGGTCCCTAGTCAAAGTGGTCCTTGGTCAAGTGGTCCCTGAGCAAAGTGGTCCTTGGTCAAAGTGGTCCCTGGTCTAAGTGGTCCTTGGTCAAAGTAGTCCCTGGTCAAATGGTCCCTGGTCAAATGGTTCCTGGTTAAGTGGTCCCTGGTCAAAGTGGTGCCTGGTCAAAGTAGTCCCTGGACAAGTGGTTCCTGGTCAAGTGGTCCCTGGTCAAAGTAGTCCCTGTCTAAGTGGTTCCTGGTTAAGTGGTCCCTGGTCAAGTGGTCCCTGGTAAAAGTGGTTCTTGGTCAAGTGGTTCCTGGTCAAATTCATCCCTGGTCAAGTGGTCCTTGGTTAAGTGGTTCCTGGTCAAGTGGTCTGTGGTCAAAGTGGTCCTTGGTCAAGTGGTCTCTGGCCAAAGTGGTCCCTGGTCAAAAAAGGTTGGGAACCACTGTAATAAATGCATGACATAGGCCGCCAAAATGGTCTTGTAAAGCCAGAGCAGCACACATGGCTTGCTTGTTTGAGTCTATCCACCTATAATGCAGTTTCCCTCTTTTCCTCCTGCCTTCCATCTTACCCTGATGGCCTTTTCAGTGGATCATCTCTTCGCAGTCTCAGTTTTGCCATCTCTTTTATCCCATCCAAGCATTTCAACCCCAAGTCACTTTCATTAAGGGACTGGAGAAAAGGATTCAAAGGCTGCTTTACACAAAAGCAAAGACAGGGAAAGTGGCGGGCGAGGGGTTTGGAAGCTGACCTTGGAGCTGCCTGGAGCTGCGGCAGAAACGTCCACATTGGCAGAGGTTTCCTTCTGCCCAACATCTGTAGAAACTGTACAGAAGAGGGATTTGGAAAGGCAAACAAGTCACAACGGCTTTCCGTGATGGATTTGGACGGGTAGCTAATACAGATGAGATACAAAAAATGGAGAAAACAAACAGCACGAACACAAACACTGATCCAGATGTAGCATGACTTCAAGCCCCAGTGTTCCTCACCAAGGGCTGATGGGAAAAGCAGTCCAACACAGCACTCTGACTGCATTATTTTTCTACTTGACATCACAAATATAGATTAATATATATGACCTAACCCTGGGTTTCCACCTTCCATGTGTGGAAGATAGCAAAGTCCGCTCACCTTATCCTCCAGTTATGCCTGCTTTTTATAAGAAGGAGGGAAGAAAAGAGAGAGGACGAGAAAAGGGAAGAGAACAACTGTAAACAAAACACGAGAGTTTAAATGGTTCCTTCCATTCAAATGAATGCAATTTTTAAAATGTATTTGTACCTGTAGGATTCACGGCTTGTGTGGCGGAGTTTTGGCTCACGTTGTTGTCCAGGCAAACCACATCATCTGATCTGGGAAGAAAACCCATTGGCATCAAGGCCCATAAAACAGAACACTCCCCTCCTTGTCTGAAGCTACCCAAGGCCTATTTATAGGCAGCCATAAATTCCTTTTACGCTTTGACGGGGACTGTCATGACATTGTGAAATTGTCCGTCATCTGCATAGAATATTCAAAGTACAAAAGCCAGGACCTGAAAGTCAGGCATAGAGAGTAATAAAAAGATATCACTGAGCTATCTTTCTTGATCTCGCTTTGCAATTAAATGGGAAAAAAAAATAAAACCTCAATAGAATGAATAAAACAAAGCCATTGCTGTCAAGGCCTCCCCTGAAGATCTTTAAAGGCAAGCTCATATCGGAAGATATGGTCCATTCAAAGTTTGGGGCTTCAGCTCCCAAATAAATAATAAGAACAACAACAACAACAATATTGTGTAAGGGGAAAGAACCCAGGGAACACTGTCCCTCACTCCAGGAACTTGCAGGGATGCTATTTAAGATCACCAGAAGTCCAAACTGTTAGAGCAAAACACAGGTTTATTTCTACTGATCAGTAAGAAAGGCGGACAGACACCATACAATGCCGATTCCAAACTGCCATGCACTAACGGTGCAGCTAAGAAGCTTATATACCCTCTTGGCAACCATTTAGCAATCATGTACAGTAATCATGTAGCAACCATGTACCCTGTGGTCGTCCACCGTGTACCTTGTGGTCATTCTGAAGCAATCATGAAGCAAGCACTCCTTGGTTAACATCCTGCTTGTTACAGGAGTCACACCATCACCAAATACAACATGCCCGCCCCAGGCACCTACATTATCTCCAAATATGGTACGCACACGCACAGTATCTCCAAATATGGCATACCCATCTGGCATACCCTCTCAATTGTAACAATAACAACACTACTATTATTACGATTATTATGATTATTATACTGACACAAAAATACAGTATGTCACATCAAACGAGATATATGCTGGATTTCGTATCACAAAATCACAAGTCGAACACTTCCTAAGTGTTTATGACTGTGTTACTTATATTATTATTATTATTATTATTATTATTATTATTATTATTATGTGGTGGTGCATCAGGTTAAACTGCTGAGCTGCTGAATTTGCTGACCAAAAGTTGGTGATTCAAGTCTGGGGAGCGGGGTGAGCTCCCGCTGTTAGCCCCAGCTTCTGCCAACCTAGCAGTTTGAAAACATGCAAATGTGAGTAAATTAATAGGTACCGATCCAACAAGGAAGGTAATGGCGCTCCATGCAGTCATGCCGGCCACGTGACCTAGGTGTCTATGGACAACGGCAACTCTTCCGCTTGGAAATGGAGATAAGCACCAACCCTCAGAGTTGGACACAACTAGACTTAATGTCAAGGGGAAACCTTTACCCTTCCCTAATAATACAACAATTATGTCATCATTGAGTCTCGGCCAATTCAACATAAAACTTGTGGCAGACACAAAAATGAAGCTTCTGGAGTAGAATAACTACATTCAAAATCTGTTCAAACCAGGAATAGATTTTTAAAAATTTTGTTACATAATGTAATAATAATAATATGCCATGAAATAAATAATAATAATCTGCCTCCTCTGCAGCTCAAGGAGGGGTACAACAGGATTAAAACAGAGAGATATAAAGACTAAACTATTAAAATACATATTTTATAGGATTCACACAGTTAAGTTGCAGGTTACAATTCACTGCCAGCAAAGCCTCTGCTCAGGCATGTTGGGAATTGGGGTCTCTCAATATCTGGAGGGCTAAAGATTGAACAGCACTGACATGGAACCTCCTCATCAAACTTTGCTCTCTGTGGCCTGAAAACCCACAGAAACATTGCTGGCAAAATACCAAATCCATAGCTTTGACTCACTGTTCAGTGGCTGTGTGAGGTACTTCCCGGAGATTCGAGGACGGCTCTTTGGACGGCATCCTCTTGCTCTTCGTCCCACCTTTTGATGGTTTGTTCTGGGAATGGGATCCCAGGCGGTTGATCTGAGAAAGAGACCCAAGACTGTCCTGATCCAGGTAAGGAAGGAAAGGACACTCGCCCTCCAAAGCAAAAAGGCCTGCTTCACAACACTCCTTCCCAATTCTTTGCTGTAAAGGTCACAGAATCATAGAGTTGGAAGAGACCTCATGGGTCATCCAGTCAAACCCACTGCCAAGAAGTTGGGTCATATTTTAACATGGCTTTGGGAGCCAATGTTTTCCCTTTTCAGCATGATGAGTTTTCCTCCCCTAATTACACTCCGAAGGTATATTAAGGACACAAATGATGCCATCTCTGGTTAAAGCAGTGTGGGGTACTGTTTTGAGTGTTGGGATTCTGGCAGACAGGGAGTCAAACCTCAGCCACAGAGGAAGGCAATGGCAAACCTCCTTGGAAGATGTTCTTGTAAAGGACGTCTGGCCAAACATAGAAGACGGAAAAGGCAACCTGGAGGCATCTACAGACCTTTATATGTATAAGGGAGCCCTCCATGCCTGAGAACTTGCCAATACAGCCAAACACAGTAAAATGACCTTGCTTTTGAGTTGTACTGGAGGATCCAGAGCAGAAGTTCCAAACCTGTGGTCCATGGACCAACAGTGGTCCGCAAGAACGAAAATATGGTTTGCGGCCTCACAATTACTTACACAGTTGCCTCGAAACCACAAAACAATGAGAGCAACTGGTTTCGGGGATGGGGATGTTGGAAGGGGAGGGCCTGACTACCTACAAAGTGTTACTACTAGCACATCAATTCTAGATTATTAAATATGGTGTTCTGTGGGCGAGCAGATGGCGACTACTGGATGGCATATGTTCTATATCAGAAACTAGAGCTGATGTGGTCTATCCAATGCAGTTTTCTGAATCAGCACCTCAAATAACCAAACTGTATCTAAAGATGACCAAAAACTGATTCGTAACCCTTTTGGGGCAAAGCATACTATAGAACGGCCCGGCTTGTTCAACTGTCAGGAATTCTGAGATTAGAAAGCCCAAACAGATGGAGAGCCGCAGTTTGAGGATGCCTGATCTAGGTCCTCTGGGCCATTCTATGGTATACTTTCCCCCAGAATCAGGTGGGAGGGACAACAAACCCTAGGAATCTCTAGATCAGTGGTTCCCAACCTTTTTTGAGCAGGGACTACTTTGACTAGGGACCACTCTCCAACATTTGTATCAAAAGGGTTATGAATCAGTTTTTGGTCATCTTTAGATTCAGTTTGGTTATTTGGGGTGCTGATTCAGAAAATTGCATTGGATAGACCACATCGGCTCTAGTTTCTGATATAGAACTTGTGCCACCCAGTAGTCGCCATCTGCTCGTCCACAGAAAACCATATTGAATAATCTAGAGCTGATGTGGTAGTAGTAGTAATCTTTCATGGTAGTCAGCCCCTCCCCTCCCGACATCCCCATTGCCTTGGCACTATAAGAGGGTTTCGGAAGACCAGTTGCTCTCATTGCCGTATAGTTTCCAGGCAACAGTGTAGTCATGGTGGGGCTGCGAATCGTATTTTCATTCTTGCGGACCAGCGGTGGTCCACAGACCACAGGTTGAGAACCATTGGGTACGCATAAATGTAACTACAGATATGGGTTATGAGAATCTTACTCCAAGCAGAGAATGGGTTTAAACTCCCCAATCTTCCAGCTGTACTGGTCTAATAGCCATGGTGCTCTTAATAAAAAAACAATCTTCCCAAAGTACGGAAAATAGAAACATGCTGAAATTGTCCTAATTCTCCAGACCTGTGTAAGGAATGAATGGGTGATTGCACTGAGAAGCGTAGCGAGGGTATTTCCCTAGGAACAGGCCAAGAAGAATCAACATGGAGTTTGCACAAAGCATGGTATGGGTCAGACTTGGCAGTCGAAGAAAGGAGGCAGTAAGGCAACTGAACAACAATGAACAATAAGGTTTGCAACCATGAGTGCAAGGAGTGCAGGGAGTGTGCAGGAGGTACCCCATAAGTCATATAGCCTGGAATGTAGATGTCTTGAACTTGAAAAGAACAGAACAGCATGTTTATTAAAAGGAAGAAACATGGATTTTGGCCTATAAATGCAGGGGGACCCCAAAGAGTATGCATGCTTCCTGATCCATGGCAACAGGAACATCCACACCTTCTCGGAAGAAGGCTGATCATCTTTGTTGGGAGAAGGCCTGTGTGTGTGTGTGTATGTGTGAATGTTTGGAATGTGTGCACAAGAGCTGTCTCTTGATGTGATTCGGATGTGATTCTATGGTGATTGTATTTCAATAAAAGTTACATGAATAGGGTTAAAACACTCTGCACAAAAGAACAGGGACCTCTCGGGGTTCATAACACCTGAAATGCATTAAGGTTCCCATACAAGGTACATGACTGCACTTGTCCGCACTGTTGTGACATGTGCCAAGAAAGATGCCAAGACTTACTTTGGAAGACAATGCGGTTACTGCCTGGTTGAGGTGTTTGTCCAGCTTAGAGATTCGCTTCTGCAGGAGGAAAAATCAAAATGATTTACACTGAGCCGCAGCACAGATTCACAACTCCATTAACAATGCTGTTGGGAGTTGTAGTCCCAACACCAGGGTGAAGGCTTTCCCCTGCAGACAGGAGCTATACCATTTCACCGCACGCCGGGTCATTGGGGCAAGGCTGCCTTACCACGATTTTAATGCTGATGCCTTCATGTTTCCGGAGGCACTGTGTGCTCTCAATCCGTTTGTGCAAATCCTGGAGCCGGTGGTCCAGAGCCTCCATTGAAATGGCCAGCTGCTCTTGAATGAAGCCTTTCACCTGCCAGGAAGGAAACACACTTCTGCGTCCCTTCTCAAAAGGCAACCCTGAAATCCCTAGGACAGGCATGGGCCAACTTCGGATCTCCCTCCAGGTGTTTTGGACTTCAACTCCCACAATTCCTAACAGCCGGTGTCTCTATCCAATGAAGCGAGGAGATCAGGGACAACAGACAAATTTGATCAAATCTCTCTGTTGGATAGGCAAGAAGAAAAAAGTGCCACATTCTGAGAAGGGAGCTCAGGGCATTTTATAGTCAAAGGTTTCAGGCATGCACACACAAACTATTTCATTCACACCTCTCCTTCCCCGTTTGTTCTTTTTAGGGGCCTCCTTATCAGCAATTCACAGCAACAATTTCCCCCTCTTCCTGGCTTGCAGATCATCAAGCTCTGTCCTTTGAACTTTCTCTTCTTTCATCTAACTCCTTCCTTTGTTGCTTTGACTAGAAAATCTCCACCCCCCATCCGAAGCCCCTCTCTTCCTCTAAACCTTTTTCTGGCTTGGTCATTTTCTATTTTTTTTTAAAAAAAATTATTTTTGCTCCAGTAGGGCAACTCAAAGGATCAAGAAGAAGAAGAACTTTATTTTTCTCCCCCGCCTCCATCTCCCTGAAGGGACTCGGGGCGGCTTACGTGGGGCCCAAGCCCAGGCAGAATACAATTAAAATAAAGCAATAACAATGAAAACAGCATAAAACAGCATAAAAGAACATAACAAAAATAGCTAGCAACAACAATAACAGCAGACTAATTTTGGAGGGGGGGAGGAAAACCACTACGTGAACTAGTTAAAGGATAAAGTGGTTTAGTAAGGTAGATGACAAATGTATAACAGCATAGGAAAAATCATGGAAACAGAGCAAATTAACAGGATCAGTTAATATAATATAGGACATCAGATTGAATGACAATTCAAGTCATGATACAGGCCATTTATTATTTATTTATTTATTTATTTACTCCTTTTGTATACCGCCTATATCAGCCAAAAAGAGGCGACTCTAAGCGGTTTACAGTAAAAAAGTGCAACATTGAACAATGCAAGAGACAAACATCCACAAACAATACACATAACGTCATCACGCCTCGAATAGAGTCAGATCCGATCTCATAGTCATTTTACCATTCCTTGTTCAGTATGCCGTCTTTCTGAGTCAGATGTTAATTACATGCTTATCCGAACGCCTGTTCGAAGAGCCACGTCTTCACCCGCCTCCTAAACGCCAATAGCGACGGGGCCTGTCTGATCTCCGTTGGTAGAGCATTCCATAGCCGAGGGGCCACCACCGAGAAGGCCCTGTCTCTCGTCCCCGCCAGCCGCACTTGTGACGCTGGCGGGACCGAGAGCAGGGCCTCCCCGGACGATCTTAACATCCTCGCCGGTTCATAGGGGGAGATGCGTTCGGAGAGGTAAGTGGGGCCGGAACCGTTTAGGGCTTTATAGGCTAAAGCCAGCACCTTGAATTGTGCTCGGTAGCAAATTGGCAGCCAGTGGAGCTGGCTCAACAGCGGAGTGGTGCGCTCCCTGAGTGCCGCTCCCGTTAGCAACCTGGCTGCCGAGCGCTGGACCATCTGAAGCTTCCGGGCAGTCTTCAAGGGCAACCCCACGTAGAGCGCATTGCAGTAATCTATGCGGGATGTGACAAGAGCGTGGACTACCGTGGCCAAGTCCGACTTCCCAAGATACGGGCGCAGCTGGCGCACAAGCCGAAGCTGTGCAAATGCTCCTCTGGAGACCGCTGAAACTTGGGGTTCCAAGCTTAGCGAAGAATCCAGAGTCACACCCAAGCTGCGAACCTGTGTCTTCAGGGGGAGTGCGACCCCGTCCAACACCGGCTGTAACCCTATACCCTGTTCGGCCTTCCGACTGACCAGGAGTACCTCTGTCTTGTCTGGATTGAGTTTCAATTTGTTCACCCTCATCCAGTCCGATACAGCGGCCAAGCACCGGTTCAGGACCTTGACAGCCTCCTTAGTAGCAGGTGGAAAGGAGTGACAGAGTTGGACATCATCTGCGTACAGATAACACCGTACCCCGAAACTCCGGATGATCTCTCCCAGCGGCTTCATGTAGATGTTAAACAACATGGGGGACAGTATTGAACCCTGCGGGACCCCACAAGTCAATGGTTGTGAGGACGAGCAGGTGTCCCCCAGTAACACCTTCTGGGTACGGTCCTCTAGGAAGGACCTGAGCCACTGTAAAACAGTGCCCCCCAGGCCCATTCCCACGAGGCGTCCCAGAAGGATACCGTGGTCGACGGTATCGAAGGCCGCTGAGAGATCCAGCAGAACCAACAGGGACACACTCCCCCTGTCAAGCTCACGCCGGAGATCATCCACTAAGGCGACCAAGGCTGTCTCGGTACCATGCCCCGGCCTAAAGCCAGACTGCGCCGGATCCAGATAATCAGTGTCTACCAAGAATTTGTCATAGGAGTCATCAATCGAAAGCACGACGAAACATCCACGTCTTTAATTCCTTACGGAATGTGGCTAGGGAGGGTGCCAACCTAATCTCCCTGGGGAGGGAGTTCCAGAGATGGGGGGCCACCACCGAGAATGCCTCCTCTCTCGTCCCCACTAACTATGCCTGAGACAGGGGCGGGAGTGAGAGAAGGGCATCCCCAGAAGATCTTAAGGAACTTGGCAGTTAAACCCCAAGCAAACTCCTAGCCTTTTCCATATTCCTTTGCATACTCTTCACACACACATCCTTTTCCGTGAGACTTAATGTTTCTTAGTGGAATACTATGTGAAATACTTAGTGGAATGTAATGAAAGGACCAAGGCAGTGACAATCTCTGTCCCATCCTCTGTTTGGATATCAGCTGACACGCCAATGCCTTAAATCAAGAAATAGTTTTCTAAGATCTACAGAGATACTTGCAGGAACACCTCAGCAAACAAGAGTTCAAAAGTGGCAGACTAACTGCCTCAATCCATGGCTAATAATAATAATAATAATAATAATAATAATAATAATAAACTTTATTTGTACCCCGCTACCATCTCCCCAAGGGACTCGGTGCGGCTTACATGAGGCCAAGCCCAAAGTACATCAAACAAAACATCAATAAACAATCAATAAAATACAAATCATATAAATCACATAAACAAAAAACAATCAATAGTGACATAAACAATTTTAAAAATGGCCGGGCCAAATGTAATAGATTAAAATTGAAAATATGCTGACGTGAACAAGGTAAAATATAACTAGGATAGGATTTTTCAGAGAGAAATGAGGGAGCACAGTCCATCCTAAGTCAGTATTAAAGTGCATTGTGAGGACATATTGCTGAGAGTTCTCCTTATTCTGGGAAGGCACACTGGAACAACCACGTTTTCAGGCTCCTCCTAAAGACTGCCAACGTTAGGGCATGTCTAATGTCCCTGGGAAGTGAGTTCCAGAGTCGGGGGGCCATCACTGAGAAGGCCCTCCGAATGAGAGACTCCCTCCTGGGCACACAGAATGACGAATGAGAGACTCCCTCCTGGGCACACAGAAGACTGGGTGACTTGGAAGGCGCTGAACAGGCTGCGCTCTGGCACCACGAGATGCAGAGCCAACCTTAAGAAATAGGGCCACAAAGTGGAGTCCACAACATGCGAGTGTGGGAAAGAGCAAACCACAGAGCTCTGACTACAATGCAGCCTGAGTCCTGCCACATGCACAATGGAGGCGCTTTTTATAGCAACACCAGAGGTACTCCAAGTGGCCAGCTTCGGGTCAAAAGACATTTAATATGTTTTTAAACATTGTGTTTTTTAAAAATACATTACAGTTGTATCCTGGTTTGCTTCTGATATGATCAATAAATAAATAAGTGGAATAGATTACAGCTGTTTGATAGAAAGCACCACTATTTTAAGGCCTTTGAAAAGGGGCAGATAGATCACGACATGGGCTTCAATCTCCACTGTGATCATTGTTCCCAAAAGGGTGCTTCAGACCATTTTCTCCCCTTTAAAGGTGTCCCTTAGATATGCAGATGATCCCACTTTGATGGCTGAAAATGAGGAGGAGCTGAGGAGCCCTACACCACTGGAGAAATTACACTGCTTAGCCGGTATTGCACCACCTGACATCTGCCGGGAAGTAGCAGCCAATAGTGAAAGGACCAAGGCAGAGACATCTCCAGCTCATCCCCTGTTTGGGTATCAGCCAGCACGTCAACGACTTAAATCTAGAAATAGTTTTCTAAGATCTACAGAGACACTTGCTGGAACACCTCAGCAAGCGAGAGTCCAAAAGTGGCAGGCTCAAACCCAGAACCTCAACCAATGGCTGATACCAAATGAGAGACTCCCCCTGGCACACAGAAGACGGGGCGACTTGCAAGGCGCTGAACAGACTGCGCTCTGGCACCACGAGATGCAGAGCCAATCTTAGAAATGGGGCTACAAAGTGGAATCCACGACATGCGAGTGTGGAGAAGAGCAAACCACTGACCACCTGCTGCAATGCAACCTGAGCCCTGCCACATGCACAATGGAGGACCTTCTTGCAGCAACACCAGAAGCACTCCAAGTGGCCAGATACTGGTCAAAGGACATTTAATCAACTACCAAACTCACAAATTTGTATTTTGTCTGTTTGTTTGCTTTGTTCTGTTAGAAATGTAATATAATAACTAAGGTGAAAGAAGAAAGTGCACAAGCTGGTTGCAGTTAAACATAAAAAAACCTCAAGATTGTGCAACCAGACTGATTGATAACCGGCAAATAGGGGGAGAAAAAGGGGGAGGCAGTGACAGACTTTGTATTTCTAGGCATGAAAATGACTGCAGACGCCCGACTGCAGCCAAGAAATCAGAAGACGTTTCCTTCTTGGAAGGAGAGCAATGACCAATCTTGATAGAATAGTGAAGAGTAGAGACATCATACTGGCAACGGAGGCCCGCAGCAACAAAATAAACAACAAAAGGTGTCCCAAACCTCCTTTAACATTTCGTTTATGCAGAAAGAGGCTACGAGAGGACCACCAAACTGCAA